TTATGGTGGAGATGCTGCGACAAGCTCTTAGTTTATGGCTTTACAAACACAGAGAGGCTCCTGAATGCTGAAGGACACCAGAGACGAAGGACCAAGCAGCAGATGTTCATGTCACCATGTGGGCTGACTTTGCTGTTCCTGTAGCTGCTCTGCCTCTGGCTGAGGACGAGAACCCACCGGTGTCCTGCTGAAGGTCTCAGGAGTCCGTTTGTCTGCTGCTACGTTGGATGTGACCGCCCCTTCACCCCTCGGCCGATCTGCTTCTTCTCCGGCGAGACTGCAGTCGGCGGAGGCTTCACGGTGCAGACGCAGGCCGATGCGCCGGCAATGCGTTTGGGAAGGTCGGGCCCTTTGGACCACGAGCCCTTGTCCGGGTCGAACACCTGCGTGGTTCTGGAGAACGCCATGCTCTCCCAGCTGTAGCCGCCCAGCACGTAGATCCGCCCCGCCCACACGGCCAGCCCCGCCTCGCTGTTGGGCAGCAGCAGTGGCGACACCCGGGTCCACTGGCTGCCGCGAGGGTCGTACGACTCCACCTGCAGGATGTCGAAACGCTCGGTGGTGTCCTCGTGGTCGTCGCTGCCTCCGATGGCGTAGATGAGGTGGTCGAGGGAGGCCATGCAGTGCCAGCCGCGGGCCAGCGACATGGGCTGGCGCTCCACCCACAAGTCGCCGTCCCGTGACGGGTCGTAGCTCAGGACGTCTCGGCGGTACGGCCCGATCTGGTAGTCGTGACCACCAGAGATGTAGACGACGCCTCGGTGGACCGTCCCAGCGTGGCCGTAAGTGAACCTACGAAACACAGAATCCCAGAAACGTTACTGAAAGCCTGTTAGTAAATGTGGGGTTTTGGGTCGAATCCAATTCCCCTCCAACTAGGTGGCGCCTCCTACTGTCTACTGAAGTGGCAGATTGCAGTTCGTTGTGTTTGAGCAGCAGAGGCTCAGACCACAGCTCATGGTGGCAGCAGAGAGCATTGTGGGAGTTTAGCAGCAACGGGACCATGACAGAGACTCTGAGGAGGTTCAGGACCTCCAAGCAGAGCTCCAACAGCTTCAGCCACTAAGTTAACTCAGAGTGCAGAAGAACAAGTTACTGGACAGAACTCAGTTCTACGAACACATAGAACAATGGAGGTGTTTAAATGTTTGCATACACGGTGAACCATACATTAGAGAGGAGAACACTTCTGCTCCGTGGGAACATCGAAAGAGCAGAAAAAATGGTGCTTGTCCTCTTCAAGTTTAACCGTTTGCCGTTGAGCCCCATCTAGCAGAACATGGACCAGGTTTGGGCCTTACATGGCCTGACAGTCTCCCAGAGGGAAGGTCCCGATGGTCACCATGCTACATTTCTATTCAGGAGCCTGTGAGTAGTGACGGCCTCCCTGCAGCAACCTCTATGAAGCAGCAGTAAGGTCCTACCTGGGCAGTCCAGCCACGTAGGACCAGCAGTCCTCAGCCGGACAGTAGACCTCCACAGAGGACAGGGCTCCGGTGTCGTTCCGTCCTCCCACAGCGATCAGACACTCCCCCACCGCCCCCAGGTAGAAGTCCACCCGCCGCTGGTTCATCGGCGCTCCCTGGAACAACATCGTCACTTCAGTGCTTATTTAAACGCTGGAGGACAAACAGGAAGTGAGCCAGCAGAACGGTGGCGTTCCCTTACCCGGGTCCACTGGTTGTGTCGGGGGTCGTATCTGTACAGCAGGTTACAGGCAGCGTCTCCACCGTTGTCCCTGGACGAGCTGCCCCCGGAGGCGAAGATGAAGCCCCCCAGAACCGCCAGGCAGTGGTGACTCCGCCGGGCCGGCAGCTCCGTCTCCACAACCCAACTTCCTGTTTCACCATCCAGCCGGCACACGTTGGCGCTGAGCTCCTCCCCCCACTCTGACGCCTGAACAGGAAAGGACCAATCAGTGAACAACACTCAGGAAGTCCTGAGTTTGACAATACGGGCCCAACATGTAGGACTGAAACATTCAAGTCTTACGAGTCTCCAGGCAAAGTCTTGAGTGTTACAGCCTAACGACTCGGGACAAGTTTCACGTTTTGGGACAACACATCTCACTACTTAAAGGACAGCGATTCTTGAGTTTTCAAGTCAACAAGTTTCAGTTTAATACTGTCACGTCTTGGTACAGCCAGTCTGAAGTCTTTCAAGTTTTAGTTTTATTACAGCGAATTTCGAGTCTTTGAACAGCAGGTCTCGAGCATTAAGTGCTTTAATGGTGAAAGATCTTTGTGGAGCCTCAAGTCTGAAGTTGTTTTAGACAAGTCACAAGTCAAACCCTAGTCGTCTCAAGCTGCTCCACAGATCAGACTTGGGTACCTCTCCTCCAATCAGCAGCAGCCGCTCCACCCCGCCCCTCAGCGTGGTGCGGCCGGTCTGCAGCAGCGGCTGAGCGCTGGGCCAGCCGTGGTACCCCAGCGCCTCCTCCACCAGCGCCTCACAGCCGGCCTCCTCCGGCAGCAGGGCCCGGATCGCCGGCAGCACCCGGCCCACCAGGTCCCCCGCCGGCATCAGGGGGAAGCGGATATGGGAGAGGAGCTGGCGGGCGTGGGCGGTCCGGTCAGGCGTCTGGCTGAGCCACTGCAGGGCGGCCTGGAGGAGGGCCTGCTCGCTGTCGTGCTGGATCTGAAGGTGGAGGCAGAGATGGTCACCTGATCAGTCACATGTACAGCTCCTTCTTCCTCCTTCATCTGACAGACTAAAGCGTGAACATGGACCGAGTGGATCACGTGGGAAGTCTGGGTCGTCGGTAGCAACAGTTTGAAGTAAACGTTGTTAAAGAAATCGGGTCCCGTCGATTTTTCCATCGTTTTCTCTGCACCAATCTGTGAAGGAGTGTTTGACCTGACAGGTAATGTAGTCAGAGTTCTAAACATCTGTCGGTACGTCTGGTCTCCAATGGTACCAACACTACAGACCCGCTATATGGTCACAGCAGGTCCATGTTTCTGTCTCCTCCGATAGTCCACGAAGCACCAGAGCTTGACTCTGTCACCCTAGTCTTTTAGTCTTTTTCATGGTACCACTTCTCACAACAGGATTTGCGCGCTGGACTTTTCTTGTAGCCCAGGAACCATATCATAGAGCTCGTCCAGATGGGCTGCACCATCAGACCTGCTCGCTGTTCAAAGTGTTGGCCATAAATGCAAAACACTTCATTCTAATCTGTTTTTAACTCATTAAACTATGTATTTATTTTTATGTATTTTCTTTTTATTTATTTATTTTTTTGCTTTTCCAACTGTTTGTTCTGTTTTCTTCAGTTTGATTTATTCTGTATTCTTGTATTTGCTTTTTTTTCCTGTTTGTTTTGTTTTTATTTTTAACATGTAAAGCGTCTTTGAGTTTGTGAAAAGCCTTCTATAAATAAAGTTTATCATCATTATTTCTCAGCACGTATTCCTCTCACTGGCTCCAGACTGGACATTACTAAAGCTCCTGCTGGTGCCAGTCACAGGAGAAACAATCAGCCTCTCAGGGTGACAGATGAAGGGCTGATGGTTGGTGGAGCATCATGTAACTGGTTTGTATCTGGTCTCTAATCATTAGAGAGCAGATGTTCAGACCAATGAGGTGCACAGTGTGATGGCTTCACACGTTGATCCACAGATTGTTGTGAAGAAAACACGACTCCACCGTCTTTGAGGGTTTTTGGCGACCAAGACTTCTACGTGATCCTCTCACTAACCAGCGTATGCACAGGAAACAACCACACATGAACTGGTCTTTGTGTGTCGTCGGCGTGGAGCGAGGCGGTACCTGTCCGCTGCAGAGGTAGGAGCTGAGCTTGTGCAGAGGAACGTCTCGGAGGAAGTCGGGGGTGAAGGACAGCGTGGCGAAGCGAGCGAGGATGAAGCGGTCGATGAAGACGTCCAGGCGCTCCAGGCTGTAGAGCCCAGCCAGCTCCTGCAGGTACAGGTAGTTGTCCTCGCTCACCTCCCGCTCCAGGTACTGGCAGCAGAAGTCCACCACCCGCCACACCTGGACACAGCTCAGGTGTGAGCAAGCAGCTCCACAGGTAACCGGACCGACCGCTGTGGTCCCGTCAAACACATCACGCGTCCCACTGTTCAGCAGGTTACAGGTCACTGAGCTGCTCAGAGGAACGCTGAGCAGGAAACTGTTCAGACTGCAGAAGAAGCCTGAGCCAGAGGATGCTCATAAGACAACATGAGGATCAGTGCAGGACCAGCACTCAGACAGGACAGCTGGAACCAGTAAAACACAAAACCAGCAACGACTCAGACGCAGTGCAGCAAAAATAATAACTATGACGCTGGAAGGTCTGAGACGGCGCGAAGGAAACGACCAGCGTTAAATTATAGCGGCAGCAGGAAGGCTTCGGGCTACAGTCAGAGCTTTATCGGCTCAGGACACATTCTCCTCAATGAAATGACAGATATCAGGAAAAATGCACCAACTTCTGCTAAATAAGCTAAAGTCGACCCAGAGCGGAGCTGCTGAGTGTCGCTGGCAGAACAACGGATTGATCAGAACCGGACCAGATCCTTGTGGGTTGTGTTTAGTAACAGTGAAGCTCTTTCATGATGTCAGCAGGACACACAAAATGATCACCAGCGTCTGAGCAGCAAATACGTGAATCAGAACTTTAAGACTGTTGTTTTATAATTAATTAAATGTCTGGATTTCCTGAATGTCGACAACCACTGCTGCTGCTTTATGTTCTACACACACACACACACACACACACACACATATATATGTGTGTGTGTGTGTGTCCACGATGCCTTCAGGTCCATGTAAACTCAACCTGTTAGTATTTCTACTGGTGGTGTCTCATTCAGCTGAAGCTACTCAACACGTTGCTGTGATGTTCACGTAAACGTTCTGAAGCTTCGGTCCGTTCTGGTTCCGGCAGCCGCTCCGTGTCTTACCTGCAGCAGGTGTGCAGCCTCCAGCACGTGGTCGATGTTTCCTCCGTCCAGCGGCAGCTCTCCGCTGTACAGGAAGTCCACGACAGCCTTCAGACCGATGGAGGACATCCCCACCAGCTCCACCTGCAGGAGGAGACTCTGATGTGATCACACCAGCCCTGACCAGAACCTTCACCCTCAGCTGGGTGGAAACACTGATTTGATCCAAACGGCTCCAACCTGAACACGAACTTTTACTTTTCAGTACATTCTAGAAACATGGCTTCATGTAGTCGGGCCGGTTCCGGTGTGTTACCTCCTGCTGGTGCTCCTCCTTCATCCCCAGGGTGAACATGGCGTGGAAATACGGGCTGGACACGGCCAGCAGGGCTCGGTGGGCCGGAACCCGCTGGTCGTCTGCCACCAGAACCACGTCACAGAAGACGCTGAGCTGTCGCTGCTGGTCGAGGCCCTGCAGCAGCTCTGCAGCCTGATCGGACCACCGGAACACCTGCAGCAGAGAGACAACGGGCCTGAGCGGGTCCGACACACAGCTCTGCTTTACGGAGGCCGAACGGGCCGCTGAGTTGAGCTCTACCCTAACCCAGCACCGGGTCCAGCTCTACCCTAACCCAGCACCGGGTCCAGCTCTACCCTAACCCAGCACCGGGTCCAGCTCTACCCTAATCCAGCACCGGGTTAGGGCAGAGCTGGACCCGGGTTAGGGCAGAGCTTCTGTCGTGAGTTCTCGTTCAGATCTGGTGTCTCAGACGACATGAACATGAATCCTTCCATCAGTGGTTAATGACCGCTGAGGCACGGCGCCGACTACAGCCGACATCTGGACCACACGTTCAACAGTCCCGTGTAGCTCCAGGTGGACTGGGCCCAGCAGACTGACCTTGGAGGACTCGCTGATGCGCTGCGGTCGACACACTCGGCTCGGTTTGTCCATGACGTGGCTCAGACTGGATTCATCTGGAGGAGACACTGATGATTAGAACAATCATCTGAGCTGTACTGGACCCATCAGCACCACACAGAGCTGAACCGGGCTCTAAACACCCCACATATCTCGCTTATTGTTAGATTTACTGTCACAAATGAAACAGGACAACAAGCAGAACATTTGATGGAAGTTCTTCACATCTTCTTGGACCAGAACTGAAGACGTTCATGGATGTTTCTCCTTCATGTCACCAGATGTTCCAGATGTTCTACCATCACCAGGCTGTACAGCTGATCAGTAACTGAAGAACATGTGACGCTGCAGCTGATTTCATTCCTGAACACTTGAAATGGTTTTGCCCTTACGGGCGTCCTGCTGCTCCTCTGGCTTCTTCATTCCTGTAAATGTCAGACCTGTTGTTGTTGTTTGAAACAGTCAGCTGACGGGTTTGCGATCATCTGCTGATCAAGTTCAGGACAGATTACATCCCTTCACTGATCGGTGGACAGACAGAGAAACAACCGGACTCTGTTCTGGACCATCGATTGTTCAGTTCCACCACAAACTCCAGAATAACGAGAAGAAAGAAGGTTTGCTGCTTGTGTTGGTGTAATTACAGCTTCGCTAGTCAGATAAGATATGCCTTTAAGAGGAGTTCAAGCGGAAGAGACTCAAAGAGACAACAGCAGCTTCTCACTCACGTTGTTATTGTTGTTATTTACTTTGGTGGTTGTTATTAGCATCACCGTTATTGTTGTTATTATTAGCATCGCTGTTAGCATCACTGTTGTTATTATTAGCATCACTGCTATTATTATTAGCACCGCTGTTAGCATCCCCGTTAGCAATGACACTCAGCGTCCACCGCTCGAGCAGCGGACCTGTGCTTTCACCTGTTCCGGTGAACCGAGCCGCTCTTACGTTGGTCACTCGGCCGTCTGTCCGTCAGCAGCGTCTCTGATGTGCCAACTTCAGCTCAACAACCACAAACATCCGCATTGTTCGGAACAAAACCGTCAAAACGCGACGTTAAACAGAACCGAACCGAACCGAACCGCAGCCGGTGAGCTGCCCTTTACCTCATCCCGCTCTCACCGGGACGTCTCACCGGTAAAACACGGTTTATTAGCGCGCGCACAGCTGCAGCAGCAGCTAGCATGTAGCCAGTTAGCTTAGCAGCAAGCTATAGTAGCGGGCCACCGGGAAGGATTTTCAGTATAAACTACTTTGATTATGATTCTAACAAAATGAATAATTAATAAATGACAAAACGAAAATAACAGAATAAATTGGAACCACTACAATACAGCTAATGATCAGCAGTGGTCACATCAGTTCAGTTCTTTGTGTTTAAGCACAACCAAAGCAGCTGGGGTTTTATTTTGAAGTATGTTGACCGTTTGTGGGGACGTTCAAGGCTCATATTCACCTGTTGGGTTCTGTGGATTAGATCCTGATGGACTGAGACGTGGACTTTAGTCTCTGTTGAATAACTCTGAACGTTACAGAGAATCAGTTCCTCATGAAGCCTCTGAGAGCTGACAGCCAGAAAACAGGCGGAACCTGCAGCCAGAAGCTTCTGGGTTTACTGGTTCTGGTTTACTGGTTTCTGACTGTCATCTGGAAACGTTTCAGTGAGATGAAGACAAACGTGATGCGAGCCTCAAGGAGGAGCGATGGATGGAT